AACACATCAATTCTAAATTAGCAAACAACATGCAGTGAAAGCTCAAAAATCTGGCACACAGCAAAAAAGTAAACACCGGTCTAGCCTAAAACTAGAGTTGGTTGTGTCCTAGCAAACCATCTAAAGTGGGTACAAAGGCTGTGTGGTTTTGATATGTCCTATAGAGGGATATTTGTTAAAGTTGCTTAAGGTTCTCGTTGGTTGAAAGACTTAAGTGAAAAATTTAATTAAAGTTTAAGTCTTAATGATTTGAGATTGATTTTAAGATTAATTCTTAATTATTTGTTGGATACCACCTTTGTTTCATACCGAGGCCGTGAAGTTTATTTCACCTTCCTTGGGGCTAAGTTAATAGCCTCGTAGGCCTGGGTTACCAAGTGGTAGCCGATATAATTAAGTGATTTGATTTGGTTAAAATTTGAAGGTTAATGGATTTTATTTAAAAAGTGTTTGATTTTTGGTTTTAAGAGTTGGTTAAACATTTTTGGAGTTTTAAAGGTGATTTTCAAGTTTTATGAATTTTTTTTATTATTTAATCATTTAATTAATGAGTCAAAAGTTGACTTTTTAATAATGCTCAAATTCTGGAATATTTGTATTTTATTAAAATACTAAACTTTAATACAATCAGTTAGACTGTAAGTACACTGAAATTAGATTTTTCTACATTTAGTTACGATGGTTTGAAGTTTTGAACACATTTTGACCTAGGTTTGACCAAAAAATTGACTTTTTAAATTTAATAGTTTTCTAGAATTTTAATATTTTTAATAAATATTAGATTAATATATATTAATAATTATTTTATCTTAATGTTAATTTAAAATTAATACTTTAACATTTTTGAAGATATTTCTGTAAAATAAATATTTTTTATAATTTTAAAATAATTTTAAAAGATTTTTAAAAGAAATATGTAATTAAAAAGGATTTAAAATTAAATTAAATCAATTTTTTATTTAAGTTGCGGTTGGGAGAACTCGTGTCGCAACCGGATTGGCCCAGCGAAACTGCATGGTAATGATTGCGGGAGAGCAATCATTCTCTGATGATTACCGCACATGGGACCCACACGATTTCCCATTTAACCCTGTTAGCAGTTCGCCTAAGCCGTTCGATCTCCGCTAATTGGAACCGATGGTCCTTATACAGCCGGACGGGAGATCTGAACGGCAGAAGGCGTTATGCGGTTTAGACAGACTGTGGGAGGGCTAAATCATGACCATTGATCGTAAGATCAACGGTCCCGACACTACACAGTTACAGAAATGTGTGAACCGAACCCTAACCAACTTAAATGGCTCATTCGAGAGATTGGCTTGACGAAATTGCTTAAAATTTTTAACATAGATTTATAGGTTGAACATAAATAGTGGGGATGTTTTTAAATGATTAAATAAGCACTTAATGAAAAGCTAATTTAACCTAGGTGTCGTAAACTAGGTTTAGGTTTTTACCTCAATCCAACCAGTGGATTCGGAAGATCTTTAATTTTCTGAGCTTGTTGACTGTCCACGCTTAATCCATCTTCAGAAATCTTGGCCTGAGAAGCATTGGATTGAGTGGAAAACAAGTTGGACGGACTTTGGCCTTGTCTCGCCGGAGTTCTCGCTACCGGTGGGATTTGAGTAGTGGATTCAATTGGGTAAACATAGAAGAAGACCTGGGATGCCTAAAAAGAAATGAGTTTGAGCTTTAATGGTGAGAGAAGATAGAGATTAGGATGAGGCTTGAAATGGACCTTTTGCCCTATTCAAACGTCCCATGCTTGAACGGAGGGCTGAGATCAACTGGGGGGATCCTAGATGCTTCCACATGTTCCTGGAGTGGTTAGGATGGGAGGTACAAGTGATGTGGAAAGCTATTTGTCCTTTTGTCCATGTGGAAATGAATGAGGTCCATTAGATCTTGATTCAAGGGTCTAGATTAAATGTAGGAAGGTTCTAGAGAGTCTTAATACTGTTGGAGGGGTTTAAGATAGAAGGGATTAAGCTTAACATGGATTTTGACCACATTTGACCATTCTTACCTCTTGGTTTGACTGTTTGACCAGTAAAAGTCTAGGGTTGCGCTGCTGATGTGGCATAGGAGGATGTTTTGAGAGCTGGAATAAGTTGGAGGGAGCTTAAATGGGTTGGAATAACTTGAGTCAAGCCATTTTGGCAATTAGAGGCTTGTTGACCAAGCATTGACTGGTCAACTAACCTTTTTGACTGCTGAGGTGGTAGCTAAGTGGCCTCAAGAGTTGGTTAGACTGAATCAAAACAAAGGCCAAGTGAAGGGATTGAGACTTGAGTTTGGTATGGGAGTTTGAAGTAGATTTGACCAAATTGTTTAAGTTGACTTGGTCAACTTGACTTGGGTTTGACTCAGAATAGGTTTAGAAATATTTGAGACATTAAGTGGAAGAAGTTTAAAAGTTTGAAGACATTGATTTGGTTAAATGGTTTGAAACGACTCATTTGAACTCTTAATGGTTCACTGGGTCAATCTATGTTGACTGGGTCAACCAGGTTGACCCAAGGGGTGAGTTTGGGTTCAATCAATTTGTTATAATATTTTGAGTCTATTAGAAGTGATTCCAAGGTTTGGAAAATCAATTTGGTCAAAAATACCTATTTTTGCCTTTAAGCTGTTTGGTCAACCTAGATTAACTTGGTCAACTAGTTTGACCCAGGGTCTGGGTTTAGGTCCAACAAGTTTGATTTGATATTTGAAACCTGTTGGAAGTGGTTGCATTTAATTTGGAGCTCATTTGATCGAAAACGACTATTCACTCCCTTAAGGGGTATTTTGGTCATTCTGACCTCAGATCCACTGGGGGCTGAAATGAATCCAATAAAATGTAGTTTATTGTTCAATAGGTCATAATCAAGTGTCTAGAAGTGATTGAAGGCTTTGTAGAAAGCTCCAAGATCAAGATCCACTGTGTGGTAGGTCTAGTGGCATAGACCGTAAATATTTAAAGGTTTTACATCACTTGAATTTTGATTTAGTTTCTAGGGTTAGAGACCTCAGAATGGGCTCAAATTTGGAGGGTTGCCTCTAGAGACATATCCCATAAGTATGCAACTGACAGACTCTGAATAAGAGGTCAATTGACTTGGTTTTGAAGTGTTTGAAAAATCTCTGCAAAAGGGCATTTAGGACTAGGTCTTTAGACTTAGGATTTGGGTTTAAATTTTTGGATTTGAGCTGGAATTTAAATTTGGATGACTGAATTTGAATTATCCATATCATATATGATTATCTGGGATGAACATAAGTGATTGGATATGATTGAATTTGAGTTAGAAGTAGGATCAAGATTTGAACTGAAGTTTGAATTTTTGAACTAGACTGAAGTCTGGATTTTGATTGAGGCTTGAATTGTATTAAGGTCTGGATTGACTTGACGTCAAGATTGGTTTGAAGTCTAGATTGATCCTAGAATCTAAAGGGATTCTAGGGTCTAGGATTTAGAGGAGTCATAGGTTCCAGATAGGTCCTATGATCTAGGCTCCTGAAGAATCCTAAGACCTAAATAGATCTTAAGGTCTGGATCTAGGAGAATCCTAGAGTTTAGATTGACCTGGATGAATTCTAGAGTCTAGGATAAATCTTAAAGTCTGAAATCTAAAAGAGTCCTAAGATCTGAGATAAATCGTAAGATCTAGCTTTGTCTTGAGGAATCCTTGTATCTAGAGTAGAACCTAGGATCTAGAATCTAGAAGGATCTTAGGATTCAGGAAAATCCTAGGGTCTGGAATAATCTGGGATCATAATTGATCTAGGGACAGGATTGGCCCAAGTGACCTCATAAAAAAATGAGGTCAACAGTGCATGATCGTAGGTGAATACTTTAGCATTGGTTACAAGCAAACCATGAATCATCATATTCATTAAGATCCTTTCTAGTGAATCAATACATTCACTACAAGTAGATTAGGGATGAACTAGCTCCGACATAATGAATCAATTTGTATGGTCCAAAAGCTTATATTATGAGTTTATAATCAAACCAAGTTTCTTAGTCTTCTTTTATTGCTTACAAACGAACTTCATTTGCAAACTTCTTACTTTGATGATTCAATATGCATGATAAGTCTAATATCATCACTTATCAACATCTTTATCTCGATTAAGATGATTTTTGCATATTAGAAATTATCATTCAAAAGTTTCATGTTAAAGTTTGGAAAGGTTTTACACATGGGTCCTTATTTGCTTGCAAGTGCAATTTCATATCCAAATTGTTCAAGTCATGATTGCTTGAGTTTAAGTTCACTTAAGTTATTTAATCAAGTTCAAGTTGAGTTCACAATTGATTCAAGTCCAAAATCAAAGTCCCGTGCGGTCCTTGTAGAGTTCAAGCCCGAGTTCAAATTGAGTTCACTTGAGTTCAAATTCATTTGTGTTCAAGTCTTTCGTAGTTCATGTCACATTTGATTCCTCTCTATTTTTTTTAAAAATTTGCAAGCTCATTTATTGAGTTAAGTATCCTTTGCATCATTCAAATTAGTGTCCAAATAAAATTCAACATTGTTCAAAGTCTTTGGATTTTCTATCCAAATTTCGGTAGCTTCCTGGCATCTCCCCCATTTAAGGGAAAAATCAAGAGGTAACCTTTCCACTAGACGCTACGTGAGCACTTCAGGTAGGTGTCAAAATGACACCGTGGTTGCATTTTTATTTTAAAATCTCGCCCGCTATGTGAGCGTTTAAGGGTTTGAAGCATGAGTTAAAAAAATACAGATTTCCCCCCTCTGCACTACGTGAGCGTTCGGGGATACTTATTATATTTATATATATATATATATATCCCGCTCGCCGTAAGCGCTGCACCGGTTTCCCTTCCCAAAATGCCACATGAGCGCGTAGGGGGTTTGCCGTCTCGTTGCTAGCATTGAAGGAGAATTCTTAAGTCGTCACAAGCGTCGCGCCGGTTTTCCTCCCTACAATGCTACGTGAGCATGTAGGGGGTTTGCCGGCCCGTTGCAAGCCACGAGAAAGATCCTCTCTCTCTCTCTCTCTCTCTCTCTCTCTCCCTCTCTCTCTCTCTCTCAGCAGAAGGGTTGAGAGGTCGGCACACACAAGTAGGAAGTCTTGGCTTGGAGGGAAAGATCCGATTTCAGGAGATAGTGGGCTATGGGATCGAGGGCTGTGTCTTGGAGTCGGGAGGAGATCGACGGAATTGCTGGAGGTTGGAGTAGGTCGGATGAGTTACGGCTAGGGGAAGTGGAGTTCGATAGTGGAGATCTAGCGCAGGAAGAGACGAACCGAAAGCCTCGCATTGGTTCGGTATTTAATGACGTTGCAGAGCTACGATCGAGGTCATCGTTGCAGGATTTGAGGGGAAGTGACGCGAACGGCACCGAATCGGCGCGATTTCGGCAAGATTTTGAGGATCTGATGGTCTTGAGGTATGTATGCAGGATTTAAGGTGTCTTCCACCTTTTTTTTTGTTCTTTGCACATAGGTCAACACTATACTGGTCGTTTAAACCAATCATACCCATATGGACCTATAAATCTTCATATGATCAAAAGCAAATTGAGTGCACCTAATTACTTAGATAAATTTTAGAAGGTCAACCATAGATGACTTAACCCTAATAGGCCCTCATATAGACTAATTAATTCATGTAGCCTTTTTTTTACCTAATTGATCCCATAAGGATAATTTTAATTGTTAAGCTCCTTGGCCAAATTAAGCCTAACCAATCTTTAAAAATAATTTGAATAAATTAACCATCAAACTTTCAAGCTTAGTTTAACTTTGACCGAGCCTGATTTGGCTAATGTAATCAAATTAACCCAAATGTGCTATTATTTTAACACATTGGTCAATTCGATCAAATTGGTTGCAATCAATACTTCCAATTGAGTTGAGTGAACTCCTCATAGAATATTTATCCTTAATTGTACAATGGTTAGGTCATTTGTTACAAATTGTCTAACTTTGCGTAGTTTACCCAATAGGATTCACTTGACCTTTTTTGTTCAATTTGTCCCCATTTAATCAAATTGATAGGATCAATCACCATCAATTATATAATAAAATTCTATGTAAGGCCAAATAACTATTGGTTTCATCTAATTAGCCCAATTGAATCATGCCTTCTATGGTGACCCATAACTATTAAAGTATTTCAACAAAATTTGAACCCTTTGAATAAATTCCCTCAAATTGGATTCATAGGTTAAAACTGAAACTCATCTAAGGGTGTCCCTAAGTGATTCATACATGATTTGACCCTAAGGATCCCTTGACTTAACCTTGGTCAACTCTTTCACAAAGAAAAGTCAATCCTAATGCTACATATTGAACCAATAGTTCCTAAGTGTTGACCTCATGAACATAGAACTATAACTTTTGATTGTTAAAAATGTAATTTGATTGAGATTATTTCTTTTGGACTAATACATATTTCAGCATATTTGGTATTAATAAATTATAGTTATAAATATGAGAGTTAATTAGATGTTGGTGTAATATTTGAAATTGAAACATAAAAAGACTCGAGCAATATTTCTAGCTTAAGAGAAAAAGCCATGACAAAAATTCATTAACTCATAGTTTAAAGATAAATTAGAGACAATGCATATAAGAACTGCAATAATCATGTTCGAGTGTTGTTATTATTTCTTCATTTGCATTATTTTGTATATATGTTCTGGGTAAAGAGACTTGTGAAATAACTAGAAGAAACACATGAGCGAAATCTATACAAAATATTTTAACTTTTAAATTCAAAAAAATTGAGCATAAAAGCATATTGTATAATGTTCCCTATATTTGGGCAACCTCATTGATGTAGGATCATCATAACTAATATTAAGCTTAAGGACTAGCCTACCTTTCATGCTCTAGATAGTTCTATTTTGCTCTATAAATAGTTAGCAAATGCAAGGGATTAAGATTATTGAATGAATATTACTCTCTCTTAAAGCTTTGAAGATTGTGTTTGCCTTATTCCTTGGATTGGGAACGAAATCCTTCTTGCAGGTCAATTCTTCTGACGATCCACTACATCAGTTGGTATCAGAACCTGGAGCTTGTAAAGATCGATGGACTATGGAAGAAGGTCGGCTATCGACGATGATCGAAGCTGCATAGTAAGATTGGCGGTCAACGATGATAGACGCAAAGGAAGGTGGGCTGTCGACAATGCTCGAAGCCGGATCCCCTTCTATCAAGCTCAAGCGAAGGAATCACTCAATTGGGTAGAAAGAAACCTTGATCGGATAGACAAAAACCCTCGGGCAATAAGGAAGATGCGAATGTCATCGGAAACCATACTGAGGTATTCGTCTTCTTCTTTTCTCCTCTCATCCGCTCAACAAGAACGCCATCAGTCCTGCAATTTTCCCACCGTCCTTTGCCCGATCGCACAGTTCACAACCATCCCGGGGCCGTCTTCAGCGATTCATATCTGTCCCAGCATCATCCGCCTCCCGTCTCTCATGATCATTCCATCCAAGACCAAATCTTCTCAAACTTAGGATCGTGCGGTTCCGCCGCTGTTCACGATCAGACCAACTCCCACGAGCGACCCACGTCCAGCGCTCCACCGCCATCGCCAGTGGTTGATTCCATGATTAACACTCCGCCTGACCTGACCGCTCCTGCAAACAATCTTTCCATCGCCCAAATCATCAGTCCGCATGAACTCCCTAACCCGCATAATGTCATTTCTGATCCAGGCATTCATTTTGATTCCGTTGTTGCTAATTCGCCATTACCGCACACGTCTGAAATTATGCAAGAATCAGGCAGTAGCTTTACTAAAGAACACTCCAATTCAAACACCCAACACTCCAACACGTTCGTTCTTGAGGCTAAAACTTCTTCAGACGGGCGGCCCACTACTGCGGTAGGAAGCTCCACCGCTGCCAGCTCAGATCATTCCGAGAACTCGAAGGCTCTGGATCACCACCATCGCTGGTCGGCGGCCAGAAGCAGGCAGTCATGTTTGCTGACCAAGAGCATGTATTTCTCAGCTGAAAGGAATGAGCTTAAATCCACTGTCCAGTTACTACGGCAGTCAATGTTATTGGACGATGGCTCTAGCAGGGATTTATTTGAAAGCGCGGAGCTCCTCTCAGCTTCTTCAGACACGGATTGTGTTTCTTCTAGAAGTAATTCGATGACTCCTGAGCTCAATGTACCTCAGCATGCTCGGGTGACCTCCAGCGGGAGTAGCGTGTCTGCTAGATTTTAGTAAGAGATAAATAGCAGGCTTCGCAGGCAGCCGGAGATTGGGACTCCGGTATCTTCAGTTGGCTCAAAGAGCCCAACCATTCCGTGTGGGGATTCTACTTTTACCATGTCCATCCAGCCTCTGGTTCAAGAAGTCTTGGACAGTGGTTGGGCGGAAGCTCCTATGGCATTAGCGGATCAATTGCTAAGAGAAATGATCGGCATTTGATGGATCATGGAGGTGGGGAGACTAAGTTAAAAGACAACTACAATATTGGTATTGGGAACGTTTTCCCTGCAGGTGTGAAAATGTCTGGTCTGAATTTGATTGACAAAGTTGATTCAGTGCAATGCATCCAAATTGCTCGACGAAATGTCACTGAAGGTTACGATCCCAACTTGAAGAGGCTGGAGGAGGTTGTGCAGAAATTTGATAAAGTTCCAGCTGAGATTAGTACTTCTCTTCATCTATTAGAAAGCACAAAGCAGGAGCAGCAGCATGAGTTGTACAAAGTATGTGAAGCTGGATCCTTGCCTAGAAATGATCTCATAGGTAGATGCAAGGACAAGGAGTTTGTTATGCAGTGGCTAAGGAACCCATCAACTGAGCGTCCTGGAACTAATTTGTACAGAAACATTTCTCTTCTAACTATAGTGGGGCATGGTGTTATGGGAAAAACAACTCTATTGCAACAGGTCTATGAAGATGAAATGATAAAGGAATTTGATCTTAAAAATTGGGTTTGTGTATTCAGCAACTTTGATGTGGACTAAATCATTGCAGATAAGTTGAAATCTCTTAAAATGAGTAGACCTCCTTTGGATACACTTTATGCATTTCAAAAGAATCTTAAATATGAGATAATATCAAAAGGGTTCTTACTTGTGCTGGATGACATGTGGGATAATGAGGAGGAACGGAACAAAACTAAATGGGAGATTGTGCTCGCCTCTCTATCTTGTGGAATTTGGGAAAGGGATTGGTTCTGTGCAAAGAACACATATTCACCAACCAATTGGCAAATTGAAATGCTAATTCAGTTCAAGGATTCCAAAGTTGAACCTCCTCACTTGGATTGGGGGAAGCCTCGTCATGTGGTAATTTTAAAGTCTGTATTCAAAGTCTTCGATCCAGGAATTTGTTTGCCACCCTACCTCCATTCTAATAACGTGCTTCGACGGAGTCGAGCTTTTTGACACAAGGGGAGAATGATGTAGGAACATCATAGCTAATATTAAGCTTAAGGACTAGCCTACCTTTCATGCTCTAGATAGTTCTATTTTGCTTTATAAATAGTTAGCTAATGTAAGGGATTGGGATTATTGAATGAATATTACTCTCTCTTAAAGCTTTGAAGCTTGTGCTTGCCTTCTTCCCTGGATTGGGAACGAAATCCTTCTTGCAGGTCGATTCTTCCGACGATCCACTACATCACTCATTATGATCAATTTGTATTAATTTGGATGTTCTTAAAATTAATATCTATGAATTAATCATACTTTATGATGTATATTATACTGTACGATCAAGTCTAAATACAAATTTAACTCCGTTTAACTTTTCCTTAATCAGATTAATTAAAAATATAGATTTTTTCATATTGTATGGCATACACAATACTGCATGATATATTTCCTAATTAAATTTAACCAAGCATTTATTTGGTCATTCATGTATTTACCTTTAATGTTATAAGAGTATCTTTATTTTATGGTAAGCTTTCATTCACTCATTCATGTATTTACCTCTAATGTAGCTTTCCTATATAACATCGCCTCTAACGCCACCGATAGATAGGAGATCAAAGTGCAAGTCTAGGGACAAAGGTGATTGTCTCGAGTTCTCTAGTTTTGGGAGAATTATTATATCCGGTGTTCGGATTCGTCCGGACACCAATCCAGTTGCGTCACGTCACCCAGATATATCCGGGGCCCAGTGTATCCGGGTGACGTGGCGCTTCTGGATTGGTGTCCGGACGGTTCGGTGACCGGACGTAATAAGTCGCCCTAGTTTTGCCTCACCCGCCCAACACAACTACCGCATGTCACGCCTCCTTCAACATGACATCATGCACCTCGACTTGGCCTCCTTCACCACGCCGTCACATGCTTTTGACCTAGCCCCTTCACCACGCAATCACGCGCCTTGGCATGACTGCTTACACCAACCATTTAAACACAGAATTTGAAAAAAGAGCGGGTTGGCAAGTCATGTCGGGTCAAACCGATAACCTGCGTCGGACGGGTCCGAGGTAGCAATCCCGACCTATTTGCAAAATTGGTACGGGTTAGGATCAATCTATTTAAACTCTAGTCAATCCCAACCTACATACCCATTTAGACATCCCTAACTGCAATTCTTTTCAAGACATGTGTAATCTGTGAGCGGTAGTCCGGGCGTAGAAGCAGCAGCGTTGGAGAGGATGCGGAAGCACAGTCACGATCACATGGAACTGCAAACGTGAAAGCGGGATCGGAACGGGCCTTACGCCTTGCCAGCTACTCGCAAGCTCGCACCCATCGTGATGTGCAAAGTTTGACCAGAACATTTGAGCTTGAGTCGAGCTCGAGCTTGTGATCTAACCGATCAACTTAGCTCAAGTTAAACATAACTCGAATTCGACTCGACTCATTTACACCCTAATTACCTAACAAAAAACTATCACCTTAAATATTGCACAAATTATATGAAACATTAACCTGTCATTAGCAAAACGAGATGACTTAAACCCTGACAAATCTTATCACATCGTCAATATTATAAAAACAAAAACTTGCCTTTCGCAGATATGAGAACCTAATTTCCCAAAAAAAATAAAAAAAAATGAGAACCTAATTTCCCAAAAAAAATAAAAAAAAATGAGAACCTTATCCAAAAGCCAATTCCAGAAGAGTTTCCATTATTATTATCATTTCTCGCAAACCAGAAGAAAACTCTATCGCTGTCACGTAGAAACCACCGGAAGTCTCTCCCGTCCTTCTAGAAGCCATATCGGACTCTGGACGACAATTTTTCAAGACAAACCCAATATTCACGGTGACTTTGTTTATTTTTTAAGTTTAATTTAAATTAAACTTTAAAAAATAATTGTTTCATAAAATTACAAAATAAATATATTAAATAATAATTAAATAAAATAATTTGTTCATAATACATATTGTCAGAATAATGTTTAAATTATTTTTAATATATTAACACTTAGAATAAAATTATGCACCTTGAAAATATTTGGATTTTTTTTAAACATTTAAAATATTTAAAACTTTTAATAAACCAAATGTAATGATGTAAATATTTACATTACTTGTTAAAAAGAAAAAAAATCTGTATCAGAATACAAAAATAAATCTAAAAAATATTAATTAGTATAATATTAACACCCTCAGTACTATACAAATTAAAAAAAAATCATATATTTTAAAACTTTGGCACACAAAACTATCTATTTACTTACATACCACACACAATTTAGAAATTAATAAGACGGCATTCAAACCCATTTTATTGATTTACAGAAACTTTTTCACAAAATATTTAAATTTTGTGCGCAAAAACAAAAAAAATATAGTACATTTACTGTTGATATCATCTTAGGCTTCATTTGGAAAACTTTAAACCATAACATTTTTCCTATTTTTAAGATATTTTTTAACTAAAGAACAGCTTTACAAAGTAGTAAATAAGATTACCCAAAGGAAACATTAGTGTGCCGATATAGTTGGCCCGCTTGCACAAGAAAAAATTCAATAAGATTATCATGGCCTTTGATAAATTAAATTTTATAATTATTAAAATTATTTTGAGATAAATAAAACATAAATTTAATCTAAAATTTATCTCAAAACAAATTTAATAATTATAAATTTTATTTTAAAATTTAAACGATTTGTTTACCAAAAAATTTCTGCTGTGCAAACGAGTCCGCTCCTACTAACGGCACCGTTATGAAAACCTAACTGTTCAAGCAACAATACTAACGCCGTTAAAACCGAAGGCCAAGTTCAAATTTTCAAACTAAATTAAAAGCCGCCGAGGAAATTACGGCGTTGTCCTCAGTCTTCCCTCGGTCGCCGTTAGTCTCCTTCACCGGAACAACCACCCCACCTTTCACACTGCCGGAGACGGATCCCTCCGCCGCCGTTCTCGCCGAGAAACTCCTCCCAAACAACGGCCACCGGCCCGATCTTCCCATCCGCAAGCTTCGCCATCCGCGGCCTACGCTTTCTCTGTATCCCCGTCGAGAGCTCCCCTCCCCTCTCCCTGTAAAAACCGCAAAGCTTGCAGAACGACGAAGCTGCCCCGCCGCCAAGATCTGCCGCCTGACATCCTCTGGCAATCGCAGCCTGAACCTGTCCCCTCCTTCCCCGCCGGAGGCAGCCACGACCGCAGCCCAATCACCTGTAGATCGTGAACTCATCGGAATTCTTTTCACTGATCCCGATCTCGCCTGCCTCCTCTGACTCCCAATCTGCACTAAATCCGCCAGATCCGGATGCTGATCTTCCCCGTTCACCACCTCCTCCCTCTCAACAGAGATTGCTACAGCATCAGCCGTTTCCGGCTGTGGTTCCTCGTCGCTGACGGCGAGATTGAACCGGCAAACAGGGCAAGTGACGTGAGTCGTAAACCAGACGTCGATGCAATCGCGGTGATACACATGGCTGCATCTTGGAAGAAGACGGAGAATATCGTCCTCCTCGAACTCGCAGAGACATACGGCACATTCGAGCGATTCTTTCCCCAATTTCTGCCCCTTTACCGACGAGTACACCATCGTCGGAAATGTCTCGAGCAAGGATTGATCCAGACCTCTCTGTGTTCCACGCCTCGACCGCCCACCGCCGAGCCCAGCGAGAATAGCTGGTGCTATGGCGGAGTTGTCGCCAGAGCATCGGCGAAGGTAGATGGAGAAGAAGCCTAGTAGGAAGAAGGCGCTGACGATGGCCACGACGAGGATGGCAAGAGCCGGGCTCACGCCCGCGTTATATGGGTTATCACCGTTGGCCGCAGATCTCGCCGGAGGCTGCTGGGCTGCCGCCTTCTGTAAAGTAAGAAGGAACATGAGAGCGGTGATTAGAACCGTCGATTTGGTTCGCATCCCGCGCGGAGGAGAGATCGGACGGTGTACAGTAGCTGCCATCAGGAGCTGGTGGTTAGTGGAATTCCAAAGCAGGAGGAAGCGCGGCGGTGAATATATGGGTTGGGCAACCGCTGGGTTGTTGCAGGTGACACGTGTCTTGAAAAAAATTGCAATATTGGAAGGTTGGTACCGTTTTTTCAAGAAAATAATATTTTTATTCAAAGTAATTCACATTTGAATATTTTTAATCATTCTTTAAATAATAATTATTATTTAATGGGTCATATAATTACTCAGATCATCCCTAAATCACATATTTCTGTGGCAATTAAAATAGAATAATTAGAATTAGTCGTCTGTGTAGTTCGACTTTGAAAACTGGTCGCAGAGACAGGTGTAGATTTCTGGAAGGAGGGCTGGACTTGCATTGCCATCTATCTAGAAGTCAGTGGCGTTTAAATCATTTTCTAATTAATAATTCTAACTTCCGGACAGGAATTGATTTGACTAAGTGTAGGCTTTTAGATAAGGTTTTCTCAGACCTCCAAAGCCAAAGTTGGAAAAAAATTATAACTTTGAAAACTTTTGAAAATGAATTTGTCATGGTTTACGTCACCTATGTTTTATGAACTAAATAACAATGTTCTTCCATTAATGTTTAATGGAACAATATTGTTATTTAATTGAGTAGTAATTAAAAAAAATTATATGGTTGGTACTTGAAAATTCTTCCATTAATGTTTAATGGAACAATATTGTTATTTAATTGAGTAGTAATTAAAAAAATTATATGGTTGGTACTTGAAAAGAATTATAAAATTGATATGTCATTAAAAAGTTATCTTGATCGGGCACGAATCTCGATGCAAAATCAAGTTTGAAACTTTCGGAATTAAAATTGGGACCATCTGAACTCCGATGTCAGCAAACTTATAGTAGAATTGAGCATCTCGAGAATATGAACCCAACGACACCAAGTCCAATCCAAACCGAGCCCAAACGGGTCCAAATCAAGGGTTAGAAGCGTTGTTGAAAGGTTCGAACCAATATTTGGATTACCAAACATTCTTCAAACATAATGTGCTTGTAGTAGAATCGAACGATTCGACGAGACGAATCCAACAAGTACAAAATCATTGAATTCCGACATCACTAAGACATTCAAATGTCCATCAAACGATCCATGATCAAGGGATTTAACATCGGCCGTCCATCCAACCACTCCCCATTTACCCTTGATCTCTCATCTATTTACGATCCATGATATTCTAGAAATCTATAAATAGACCTCTCATTTATCTTGAAAAGGGATATAAGCAAGAAGAGAGGAATAGAAGGAAGAGAAGGAAGAAGCTCCTCCTCGACCACCGCCTGAGTTCGTCGAACCACCACCTGAGGCCCTCGCCTTCGCCGAACCACCACCTGAGGCCCTCGCCTTTGTTGGACCACCACATGAGGCCCTCGCCTTTGCTAGACCTCCACCTAAGGCCCTCGACTTCGCCAGACCACCATCTGAGGCCCTCGCCTTCGCCGGACCACCACCTGAGGCCCTAAACTCCGCCAGAACATCAACTGACCTCAGAGTTTTTCAAAGTCACTATCAAACTACTAAATGACGCCCCAAGTTCCAAATAACACTAGATTTTAACACTAGACTTCAACTATATGGTTGACATTTGTAATATGATCGCCCTCAAGGACGAGTCAGCCCACTGTACTCAACTCAAATTCTAGTGAAATATTTTCAACTAAGCTAGGCCTCGTGGTATTTCCAGTTTTATAAGATTTTTTATATAAAAATTATTTTGTTCTCTATGTGTGAGCTGGATATTCATGTAACACTGAGACGTAGAATTATAACTCTATCGCCGTGTATATTCTAGCCCGCAACAGTTTGGCGCCTTATATGGGAAAATTCAATCCCACTATCTTAAGTACTCCTCCAATGGCTAACAGGCATAGCCATCGCATCTTGGGAGCATCTCGCTCCAATTCACATCAATCTAGGAATCCTTCTATGAACTAGAGACGCCAGACATCTACTTCTTTTCACCCTGGGCGACGAAATCTTACAGGGAAAGGAGTATCCAGACCTTCCCTAGAAGATAGTTTAAGAAAGATGGAGGAGTCTCAGAATGAGATCCTTTAACTCTAGCGAGAGACTTGAGGACCGGCACTAGCACTCCAAGAAGATATTCTTCTCACTCGAGATCCACTTGGATTCGAACATGTTCTTCATATCCAGGTTCCCCTTCCGCCATCAAGGATGTGCCCTTCAACACATCTAGAGAATGAGCTTGCTGACAAGGCAAGCTCTACCCATCCTTCACGCGCAGGTCACCAACATAACATTCCTCTGGATGTCCCCGAGGACTTAGCCCAACAACACATCGTTGAACTCCCCCGTAATGCCCTATGACATGAATTACAAAGATTAGTCTGAGAGGAGTTCTCTATAGAAGATATAAGACAATCTCTTCATCAACAAGATTTTTAGGAGTCATCACCCCTGACTGAAGCCATCCTTTAACACCCCATTCCAGTAAGATTCAAACTACCGAGCATCGATTCATACAATGGGACATCTGACCTGTACGAATATATTGATCACTATAGGACCATAATGCATATCTAACAAGCCTCTGATGCGCTCTTATGCAAAGTCTTTCCAGCTACCCTCAAAGGATAAGCTCAAATCTAGTTTTATTCACTCCAAACCGAATCCATTCCATCATTCATCAAATTAGTCAAAATATTTGTCGAACAATTTGTTACCAATAGGAGGATGGTCAGAGACTCTTCTCACATCTCAAGAATTTCTTCAGAATGAAAATGAGTCCCTCAAGGATTACTTTAAAAGATTTTCTACTGAGGCTCGGTAAAATTTAAGGGTAGATCCCGAGTTACTTCGAGGTGTATTCCTTGGAGGGCTTCGTTCTAGCCCCTTTACTCAACATTAATGCGAGATACGATCCATTCGTATGCGGACTTGATCCATCACATAGAGGCCCGAATCTTTGCCGATGAAGCCATTAATGCTCATAGGAAGTAATTTGAGCAAACAACTAGGAAATGTAAAAATATACCAAGAATGGAGAATCCATCCTCACAGCGAAAGAAGCAAAGAAACTATAATATTCCCCCTCAGCCCTCATAGCCATGACAAGAGCCTTACCAAGAAAAGGAGTACACGTCACTTAATATATCCCGAGAAAATATATTGATGGCCATCTAGGTTCGAGAGTGAGATTGCCTTAAATGATTCTGACTTAGAGGGAATAAGGACCCCTCATTAAGACCTATTCGTATTAAGTGCAAGTATAAGTGACCTGTGCTATAAAGTCAAAAGAATCTTGGTCGACAATGAGAGCTCTGTAGATGTCTTATTATACTCCACTTTTCTCAGCATGGGCCTCGCTCGAGATAAGCTCCAACCTGCTACAGGTTCGCTATATGGATTTGACAATCGACATGTGCAAGTAGAATGTACGATAAGCCTCCCTGTTGTGCTAGGAGAATTCCCCCGACAGGCCACACACTCCATCCAGTTTATTTTCATGAAGTCAGAGTCTGCATATAATACCATCTTTGAAAGGCCACTTTAGTCAATCTTCAGGATCGTTGCCTCGATCCCACACCTCAAATTGAAATTTCTTACCCCATTAAGGATTGACATAGTACGAGGAGATCAGTTAGAAGCACAATCATACTTTCTTCGACAGGCTCACCCACACCTATCAATTACCTTGAGCATTGAAGACTTTGATATGCGAGATAGGGACATTCCTCAAAAGGCCTCCCCCGTCGAGGATTTTGCTTGTATCTCCCTATTTGATGAGCATCCTTCAAGGATAGTACTGATCGGATCGTTACTCTTAGAGGAAGAGAAGACAAAGTACATAGAGTTTCTACGAAGAAACCAAGATGTCTTTTCTTAGAGTCTAGCATACATGCTTGAAATTAGCCCTGAAGTAATTGTACACTCAATCAAAGTAAACCTAACGTGCATGCCAGTTATTCAGAAGAAGTAAAGTCTTGAACCAGAATGCTTGCAAGCAATTGAAAAGGAAGTCGATAAACTCATGGAGGCTAGATTCATACGAGAAAAGTGCACTATCCCACATGACTGGTGAATGCAATTATGGTCAAGAAGATTAGTAGAGCTTGAAGGATATGTGTAGATTACACAGACCTCAATAAGGCTTGTCCAAAGGATAGCTTTCCACTCCCTTGTATCGATCAACTGGTTGATGTCACATATGGGCATCAAATGCTGAGCTTCATGGATGCATACTTAGGCTACAATCAAATAAGAATGAATCTTGTTGACAAGGAGGAAATAACTTTTCAAATAGATAGACGACTATACTGCTACCAGGTTATGCCCTTCGGACTGAAGAATGCAGGAGCTACATATCAGCTCCTCATGAATAAGGTGTTTAAAGACTTTATAGGGCATATAATGGAAGTTTATGTAGACGTTATGCTTGTGAAAAGCCTTGAAAAATCTTAGCATATCTATAATTTGGAACAATATTTCTATTTCCTCCGATCTTACAATATGTGCCTCAATCCTTCTAAATATGTATTTAGAGTTACCTCAAGAAAATTTCTAGGTTTCATTATTATCCACCGAGGGATTGAGGCCAATCCTGAGAAGATCAAGGCTCTAAAGGACATGGTGCCTCCAAGAAACATAAAAAAAAAGTATAGAGATTAAGTAGAAGGATTACAACACTTTATCATTTCTTGGCTCACTCAGAAGATAGATATATACCCTTCTTCAAGATCCTTAGAGGTGCTTGTAGCTCAAGATTTCACTGGACTGATGAATGCTAGGAGGCCTTTGAGTAGCTTCAAACCTATCTAGCCTTACCTATGCTACTCTCAAAACCAATTCTGGGAGAAAGCTTATATTTTTACTTGACTATTTCTACCTAGACAATAAGTTCAATCTTGGGCTGGAAGGAGAATGCTATACAACATCCTATATATTATGTTAGTAAGATCTTATTTGAAATGGAAGAACATTATCCCTCAGCAGATAAGGCAGCTTTGGCGTTAGTATACTTAGTTAGAAAGCTACGCCCTTACTTCCAAGCCCATACAATCAGAGTCCACAAATTTATCGCTAAGAAATATCCTGCAAAAGCCATTAGCCTCTGACAGACTCATTAAGTAG